GAGAGAGAGAGAGAGAGAGAGAGAGAGAGAGAGAGAGAGAGAGAGAGAAGAGACTGTAACCAATGGAAGGTTAAGTGAAAGCATCTCTTTGAAGAATATAAGTTATGTGCAGAACATACCAGCCTTGTCGCTAATGCCGTCGTGATCAAAGTCGGGAGACATGTTGCATATGATCATGTTGCAGTACTCGCGTTTAAAGTCCTCGAACGACATCCAGAACTCGCCGTCGTCTCGTGACGTCACTTCCAGCTCGCGTTTGATGTTCTCTGGGACTCGCTTCCACTCGTCTCCCCTGGGAAGAGGAAGGACAAAATAAATAATGAGATTGTGGAATGGGGATGATCAGAGGTAAATTTGTTGGTTCATAGCAGAGCTGAAGCAGTAAAGCTCGCAAGATATTTCTCAATAAATTTTTTTTTTTTTACTGTGAACTAGAAGGATTTAAAATACTAAAATCTCAATTTCCCGAATTTCCTAATCAACACCTCAGGTGTACCCAGTAACACCACTGTCCTTGAAGAATATTACTGCTGCACCCTCATGACGTTTGTAAGAATGTACTTTTGAATTTGGAATAAAACCACAAAGAAAAATCGACTGGAACCCGTAAATTATTTCCCAATCCCTTGTCTATGCCTACATAAATTCATACGGTCTCAATATCCGGAAGTAGATTGTAATAAGACTTTTGACAAATGTTTCTACATACTGTCATATTACAGAATTTACATACCGGTGCCTATAGCCTCTGGTGTAACGATTTGGCGCGTATCCCTCGAATGCAAAAGACTCAGTTCTATTCCGGAGAGGGGAGATTTTTTATCGGGTATTTCGGTGTTTCTGCATTGACCTTATATTCCTCGCAACTCAGATGGCCTTGACAGGCACAGCTGATACCCGCCACCTAAATTATTTAAATTTTGTCAATAGAGGCATTTAAAACACTTAGTTTTGACACCCCCCCCCGCCCCCAGCAACAACACTTTTATAGTATCAAATTGCCATGGAATTTACCTTAAGATAGGGAGTTTAGCGACAGATAAATAACGAAACACTAAAACCAAGATCCAGACTTTCTTTTCATGGTTAAAAAGAGTTTTTATTATAATAAGTTTGCGTCGTGTAAAAAAGGTTTCGTGTTTACACGGACTATGACTTTAGAGAAGTAGGGGCCTACTCATAGTGACTAGCAAGGTGAAAGAGAAACAATATTTTATTTTATTTATAAAGACTGTATCTTTATTTTCTTCTTTTCATGACGGAATAAGCTAGAGCCAGTCTTTTGACTTCTTACCCATCACACCATTCGCCTTCCCATTCCGTGTCTCCCCACGGGTTTCGAACGCGAATCAGCTTGGCTGCCCTGTCTATGTAGGGTATTTCCTCTACCCCAGTTACCACGTAAGAGTGGTTAGAGACCATTCCCTTTCTGTTTCCGCCCGTGGAGTCTCGGCGGTCCTGAGAAAAGACATTAACTCTTCAGTTGAAAACACATGACTCATTTCAAAACCACACACCTACAACCTAATTGATTTGAAACACGAATGTATTTGCTTAGAGCGACGACTCTCTTCTGTCTCAAGCTCAGCAGCAAAGGCAACAAAAGAAACAAAAGCAAGAAAAAGCCGAAAGGTAGCAGGTGTAGTTATGATCTCAACAGCAGTAGCAGCAGCACTGTCACCAACAATAGACACAACCAGCAACCTAACCAGACAACAGCAATTCCATCATTATCATAACCTCAAGCACAGTCATCATCAACAGCGAGACAACCTGAACAACACATCTAACCACCACCGCAACAACAACAACAACAACAATAAGAAGAAGAAGAAGAAGAAGAAAAAGAAGAAGAAGAA